GCACAGTAGTTGCAATACGGGCGTGCATTCGTTGTCTTTAAATTCTGTCTCATGTGGACAACCAAGAAGCCACCACTGCCCCCAGTCAAGCTTATTAAGCGGGTTTCCCCCACAACGCACTGTATCTATCGTTTTGTTTGTGACATTGGAAGTAGTTACATCGGCAGAACCGACCGTTGTTTGTGGAAGCGGATTGGGGAGCACATTCCGAAGCGTATCGTTACCTTGACAATGCAGCCGCAAACGGGACCTGTGTCGACGAACAACATACCTGCCTCCTCGACTGCAAAACACCTGATGGGAAAGGTGTCATCAGGTGCAGCACCCGAACTCGGAGTTTAGTGTCATCTAACGTAACACAAACGCCAGAGTGCTCAAGTTTGCCGAGGTATTTGCCATAAAATAGCATTCTCCAAGATCGTGCGTCCAGAAGCAACTGTTCGTTACGCTCAAACTCCCTTAGAGCCAATGATTCTTCCTCAACCTCTAGCCAACGTTTGCTGCGCTTTCATATGATCTCACCATTTCAACTTATAGATTTTTTGTCATGTTATCATTTAATATATTGCCCGTTTGTAGGTGAACGGAAGCACGTAATAATGCTATCTTGCAAGAGTCGTTTTCTTATTGTGCGGTTCAAGTTGGTACAAGGAACTCAATGCTGCAAGACAAAAAGTACTTAAAAAGCGAGTGGAAACTTCATTGTCTACTTGCTTTAAGTCAAAATAGCACAGACCAAATAGGATGCGTAAGTGAAGAGTGGAAGGAGTTTTCCGGGAAACAGTTCCATGATGGATCGAGTGACTATAGCTTTACGGACGGCTATATCTACTTTAATCCTACTTTCAATTTTTTTATATTTTACTACTTTTCAATGATTGAGCACCTCAAACACCACTGAGAACATAACAGATTCTCGAAAAAATCTTCTCACTATCCGACTGTTTACTAATTAATCAGGCTCGTATTTTGCTTGTGTTTAGCAGCTCGAGAAATATACCGTTTATTTATTTACGAAATTGTTAAAAACAATGGCCATGACGCTTCAGGGATGCGAGTTGGTGTGCCTTCAAGTGCACGGAACTATCGTTATTAGAAAACCTAACACTGTTATTCCTTCTGAATGAAGCTGGAAATATGGGACTGATTTGGTATCAGACGGTTGAACTCTTTAAATGAAGTCCAGCTAGCTGTATTTTTATTCACTAACATGTATCTGACAGATTTCGTTTTATTAGCGCAACGCAGCAGGGCAATTGGTGGATTATAAAGCACTACATATTGTTTCTACACAGAGCAAGAAGCACTGCTTTACAAGTCTTGTTGCGTGGTTTGATGGGGTTATCGCAAAGAATAATAATAAAACAGTTATTACTTAAAGTATGAGAGGGAAAGACTTAGCATTTGTTATGCTGTAGTCATACAGTCTGCGTAGTTTCACAGCACCCCCCTGTAACTAACTGTACGGATTGCCGAGAGTGCATAAGACCAACGTGCCACTGCGTCCGATCATCGATATGTCTGGTTCCTCCGTGCCCTCGGTGGCTAAATGGCTTGTAGGATTGCTTGAGCTACTACGCAAAGAATTGTCAGTCCATACTGTGAGTGCTCCATTTGAATTTGTTAAAGAATTAGAAGATTTTCATGTGAAATATAAATTGATGTTTTCTTTGACGTAGGATCTGTTTTCACAAATGTTCCTCTGCTTGAAACTGTGAACTTCATTTGCGATTACATAGCCGATAACAACACTGCTACTGCAATTTCTGTGAAAAACATAAAAGAACTAATCTTACGCTGTACCTTTAACAAGCAGTTCTTATTGGACGGAAAATACTATAGCCAAATAGATGGAGTTGCAATGAGGTCTCCATTAGGGCTGCTACTTGCCAATTTCTTCCTCGCAAAAGTCGAGCATGGCGCTATCCGGCACCATACGAATTCCTCTCATCTACATCGGCTGTATGTGGATGACACGTTCATCGTATGTCATCCTCACATCGATCACGCTCAGTTACTGGATCAGTTTAACCACGCACATCCATCAGTAATATTCACTTCCGAGCTGGAGAATGACGGTGAACTTCCGTTTTTGAACGTTTTGTTGCAACTTCGAACCGATAGCTCACTCGAGAGAAGAATCTGCTGTAAGACAACCAGAGCTGGTCTTAGTTTTGCACCCATTAAGTACAAGAGAAACCTCGTGGGTTGTCTGCACTAACGGACCGCACGAATTTTCAGTCCAGAAACGCTAGAAGCGGAATTGGAGTTTATCCAAAAGACGCCGGAGAGCAATGGGTATCCCGCGAGGTTTATCAAAAAGCATTCCTGTGTGGCTGACCAAATTAACCTGATACTGACTGCAAGAAAGAAGGATGTTTACCACTTAGTTCCTTTCAAAGGAGATATCACTTCCGAATTACTGAATAGACTAGCACTGGCGGTGAGCAAGACATATCCGGCCGCCAAAGTTCATATATTTGCTGAAACTGTTCCGCTTGTCACCCAACGCCTCAAAGGTAGGATGCCGGCTTGTCCGGAATCTTTTGTCCTAGATCAATTCATCTGCACCTGTGGTGCAAGATACTTCGCGCATAGGACCAGACGTCTAGATAGGCGGGTAGCAGAGCACTGCGCTGTCTCTCTGCAACACGGTATGGTTAAGTATGTCCGCAGCTCGATCCTCGAACATTTGTTTAGTACCGGCCATCAGATTCAGACTAATGACGCATTCAAGCTAGTCTACACTGCACCGAGGCGCTACCCTAAAGGAACCAAAACGCGCTCGTTGGCCACCACTGAAGACATTGCAATCAGAATGCTTCAGCCGGATTGGTGCAAACAGAAAACACTGATACAATCCATACTGTTGCCGTGGCCGTAATGTCGGACCGCGGTGACGACTAAGAGTGCGTGCGTCTACGCGCGTGCTCATGCGACTCATGACGCCTGACTGTATCGAGTGAACTATTGATCGACTTCCAATTTTTGAAAGACACTTGGAACCGATCGAGTAGTCATGAGTTCAGAGAGGTTTGGAAACAATCGGTTGGTATAGTAGTTTGGTAACGTTTCGCGCTTGACACAAGAGCTTTGTCAGACCAGGTGAACCGTTGCAATTGGGGTGGGATTTTTTATAGCGAACAGGGGGGATAACCGCATTACCCGAGACTTGAGTCATGATGTCATTACAGCAACCGTTCCTGATGTCACCTCAGGTGGTTTAAACACAGTAGGAATAGTCCAGGTGTTCCTTTGTGCGTCATGATATTGACGGATAAGCCCATAGTGTTGACAATGGGTCGTTCAAACAATCACATCCCCAGCGTTCCCTTACCTGTATGTTTTGTACTTGTATTTGCCTGAAGTGAATTGCCGAAGAGTTCTCTTCGCAAGTGTTGTGCTTCTAATATCTGAATGAGGCATAATTAATGAACTAAATCCAAGGTATATTCCAGGGCTAGGATAGAGACACAGTAATTATTAACAATGTTTAAGTGGATGTGTGCTTTAGCCAACCGTCTTTTAAATATTGTTAGTGTCTGTGCAGAGACGACCAACTCAGGGAGAGCACTCCACGGGTGACACACGAATGGTAAGGCACTCCAGACGTCTATTCTGTTCTGCTAGTTTCAGTGAGTGACGCCTCAAGTTTACATTACTTCTGAGTTGTAGTAAGGGGCGCCACACATGATGTAAATGATGCAGAACCAATTGGACCAAAATCAAGTCGCCTCGTAATCGGTGATATCGTCCATCGAATGTCCCCAATCGTTAAACCATTACAGTAGGGCTGAACATGAGAACTATTGATTTGAATGCACGATGTAAGTTCTTATCTCTTGCTGCTGCTCGGTTGAGCAGTTGCTGAAATAGGAGAAGTTTGATTCAAATAACGGCCCTTTCAGGATTTCAGTCTCTGAAGTTATGGATAAAACACATTTTTCTTGCAAACCTTGGGTAGGCACCATTAGCTTTACACCAAGGAAAAAGGAACGGTAACACTAACGCTGATTGTGTAAGTAATAATCGTTAACAGAGTGTTACTGAGAGCTTGGCGGTAACTGTCTATAAAAATATGATTGTGATCAATAGCAGATTTATCGTGAGAAAGATTTATGCATTTCATTAAACCCCTTGATCTGTCTTTTTTTTGCTTATTCGAAAGCAGTAGCTGAGAATCTGCGTTCCGTGGGGAAAGTCAAAGCAATATCTACACATCGGAATCCCAAGAGAGGGTAAATCGGTCAAGATGCCCACACTGCTCTCAGTGCATCAGTGTTCTAAGCGCTTTTAACATTGGAATAATTTCGTTGTGAAAAAGCCCTCACCGGAGCACAATTTTATCAACACCTGTCTCACACTGGAGCTGTGATCCTTGTATGAAAGCCTTTGTGTCATGTTTCATCAAGATGCAACTTAATTGAGATTGTGTAAGTAGTGCTTGCCTTATTGTCAACGAGTTCTACCGCCCCCTTTTCAATCTTTCGCTATACATTTGTTGGGCATTTTCACACTGTCTAGCCCATTAGAATGGAGAAATATAACAATTTCGCAATGTAAAGTCTTCACTATGTTTGTTATAAAGTAGGATTTATATTATTTCTCCTGTTAGTGCAAAAGGAACTGAGCGATGTGAAGATGGTTGGAAACTTCCTGGCTTACGACCGGGAGTTGGGTAGGATACCGGATAACTGAGTTACCGAACTCACAATTTAACGGTTCAGAAACCAAACTTGATATGGAAGTGACATCTGTTTGAAGGAGACCAAACAGTGGTGATCAGTCAATAGGCTTGTTCGTTTATCATTGCGCTTCAGGAACATGTGCAATATCGCGATGGAAAGGCTGAAAACCGGATGGCTAATATACCAAAACGGAGGAGTTAGTTGTGTCAACACGAGAGCAATACTTATGATGAAAAAGCAAAAGTGTAGGGGTCTTCGTGATAAGCAACTTGCTTGGTTACAAAGTAACCGAAACAACCCACTGGGACTCACTAGCATTTGGAGACAGGACACTTGATGCCGCAGTGCTGCAAAGTGAACAGCTCGTCGTTGCAGCGTAGATGTCGGCTGATGGACATTCACTCCATTCTGTATCAGATAGTGTAGCATGGCAAAGTGTCCTTTATAAGCCACCAAGTGAACTGGACATAAATCGGTGTGGTTCCTCTCTCGGACCTGTGTGTGTGTGTGTGGCAATTAGAAAATGTTTTGAATCATCAGATATAAAAGCGAAGGGCTGGACCAGGTGCCAAAACTCCAAAACATATTCTTTCTGCTCCCACAATATCAACATACAAAAGAAACCTTTATTCGGCTTGTAGGTTAAGACAGCTGTACTAGCTGAGCATGTTGTTTAAGGAAGTGCGGAGCATGCTCGTTGTAGTTTGTCGATGAGATGCTCCGAGATTATATAGCCATCAGCGGTGGCAACTGCATATGCTAGCATTGGACACTGTACGCTTTTCCAACTAACTGGTTATCCTAGGTTGTCCGACGGGAGTGTAATGCAGATGAGTTTATTCACCTGGTTCTCTTCGTACAGACGCATGTAGTTGTTTATACTCTTTAGGTAACTACTTCGTAGGTAGACAGTTTACACGGAAAACACATGAACAGCAGACTGTACCCAAGCTGACCTGGAATCCTACAAACACATTCTAGTAGTATGTGGAGCACTAGCCAACACTGTACGGACACTCATATTTAATGGGGATATGCACCAACTGATATTTAACCAAAATATTAACATCGCCGTTACATAGAATGAATAATCAACCTAGTAGTTGATATGAGTGAGCCGTTATCAGGCTTTCCGTCACTCGTGCAAACCATTTACTACTGTGACCACAGTTTTCACATCAAACTCCAGTGAAAGCGGGATGTGAAGATTTGTGTGTGTGTGTGTGTGTGTGTGTGTGTTAACTTTTGATGTTGGTTACGACACTCCGGAAGCTTTCGAATTTCTATAACAAATGCACCGTTCCCTGAACTCCGCGCTCTGCAGTGTCTACTGGTATCCAAGCTGTCCCCTACATTTAACAAATGTGATTACAAACATGTGGTGCTGATTTAGAGCTGGATACGTCAGTCAAAGATAGCAATGTGTTTGTTCTGGGTAGTAAAGTACATACTTGACAACTTTCACAGGTGTGGGGCAGATGTGGAAGCTGCCAAAACATACAGAAATCGTGTCTGTTGTGTACGGAAATGTTCGTATTTGCCTTCGGGAAAACGTCGTGTTATTAAATGGATAGGGTGACCATGGGAAATCCACTGGACCCATACTAGCGGATTTCTTCATGCTGATGGTAGAACGAGGCATATCCGAAGAACCAGTTCAAGTTTCATGTTACAAACGCTATTTGGGTGACATCTTGGCTGTTCGTTCATCAGAGAAACAGATCCGGCGGTTGGTGACGCGTCTAATTACTGTGAATACCAGCTTGAAGACTTCTTGCGAGGCTGAGCAGCAGATCTGCCTCCTTCATTTACATGTGCTCATAAGCTTAAATGAGAACTGACAGGTTAGATAGTCCGTATACAGAAAAGCAACATTGATGACGAAACGTCTGCAACAAAATTACCAAGCTGAGCGAACTGTTCGACTTCTACCAGTGTCCACCGTGCCTAAAAGAAATATATTCTTGGAGGTGCCCGCTTTGGGCGATATCCTTACCTTGTGGATTACCAGACGTTTGGTCTAAACCAAGAAGAACACCTTCAACCGAGACCACAAGCTGTCACCTTCTCTACTGAGGAAAACCACTTCTCCGTGCTAGCTCCCGTTGCGCATCCCTGTAACTGCGGAGCTAATTACATAAAAAGAACCGATAAAATCCTGAGTTCCCTGAAGGATGATGCAGTTGGCATATTGGATCTAATGCCAGACGGCGTAATATGCATGATCAGCTCAGGCTATGCGTTCAAGCTGCCCGCTAATACCTCCGATCGGCACAAAGTAATGTTCTCAAATCACTGGTTTGAGGGCGGCACCATGTAGCCAGTCCGTGAGCGCTCATGTAACGCGTTAAAAAATAAGGGGTCCAGGAATGATGCGTCATCCTACCGTTGTTTCTTTCCGACTCTACTTATCTTGCGCTCATCCGTATTTCTTAGCTGCCCTTATTAACTAGGCCTTTTACTATGGGCATGTGATATGGCCATCCAACCATTAAAGAGGCCTTTATTTTGTACTGCAGCTCCAAACGTCTATTGCGACCCTCTGTATTGGTTGGACACGGAGGAATTTGGAACTCCGGACTGGCAGAATGTCGTAACCAATTCGCGTCTCCTCTGTTTCTACACGGCTGTTGCAAGAAGCCGGATCCAACTAGTGATTAGTGTTTAAAATAACTATCGGTCATTCCTAGGTTATACTGGACGTAGGGAGGAGATTTCCGATATTTTTATTTTCCCTGTTTGTTTATCTTCACAAAGTGACAATTGGATATGGTTGCCAAATCTTTTTATCGGCAATGATGAGATGATAAGAAATGCATACAGCTGCTGCAAATCGTCTACACTATGCTTTTCAACATTTAATTTGTCTCTAGATAACTTGTGTATGTCAGCTGACGTGAATGTTCTAATACGCATCCATTTTGCTTGGTTGCATCGGAGACAAATGAAACCGTAACGACTGGTGTAATACAAATGGATAAGTGTAATATTAAGTCGTTTACAGCTGCGGAAAATACAAGCGCGAAGCTAATGGAATTTGGAATAGTGTTACATGTTTAGCAACCTTGAAGTGAGAAAGCATTACAATGTCATACATAACGATTATACGGTACCGCCAAATTCAAATGTAACCTCTGAAAGATGAGTGGGATGGTTGAACTTCCGATACACCAATTGAAGTTCAATTCACCAATGACGATTGTATCCACTGTAGTTCCCTGCGGCCCTCAGATTGCGATGGAAAGGGAACAAGTCATCAATATCTTTTACTCTGTCTTTATTGGAGAGTTTCAAACACAATGAGAACAGGCCTTTGCTGTGTCCGTCAGGCTTAGATAGCGTATCCCTGTGAGCTTTTGTGTAAGTGTCCAGCATTTTCGAAGGACAGTAGGAGCGAACCAGTTAGACACCTTTCGCAAGATACCTATAAGTTTCTTATCAAGTTGGCTGCTTTTCCGATCTAGCAAGAGCAGCAGGATTTGTCTTACACAGACACTTAGATGACACATCTATTGGAAGCATACAACGAACTGAGTTCTCATCTCAGGTTTTATAGTTATTGTGGTCACATACGCCGTACACATTACAATTGTCCGCACGTCTGGAGTCAACTGCCCACAAGGTGACGCAGCGTTATTACGTGACGGCCCACTGTCTTGATTTCTTACGAGATCATGACATCAAAAATGTAGAGTAATACGAACTGCGATAATCACTCGTGAGGTCGCGTGTCGTAATGCACTTGTATTGGGTAAGACAGCGCGCTACCTATCATCACAATTATTCAGTGCAGAAGAGCGAAGTTCCTTAGCCAGAACTGGACAGGATCGTCAAGCCCATGGTTCGTAATCTTGTGAAGACAGTATTGATCTAGATGACCAATAGTTACAAGTTCTAGCGCCACGTTTCACCATTTTGATGCGCCCTGACACTCCCATCTGCATACTAAGTCGCCAGGTCTCTTTCTGCGCGTTCACCGTTGATCTTTACGTTAGACTCACATGAACGCAGGGTACAGAGAAATCCCCGTTAATCCTGTCCTTCATCAGTTCTTTTCTAAGTTATCACCTCTACTTCTTTATGTAATCGTGGCTGGTGTATTACTGCAATGTATGACTGACTAAGTATGTCCATACAAACGTACCCGACCTCACGACTTGAAATTTATTGATCTCTACATTTGTACCACCTGTACGGTTTCAACGACGTACGTCCAAACATTATTCGTTTGTCCCCATTACATTTACCGTGAAATGTCTATACAATCGCACTTAGTTGATCACGCCTCCGTGGGCATGCCTCGCATAGACGATAATAATGAGGAATTTATTTGGAGGGTCAAGTTTGGACTACACGTTGTGTGATTGGATTACGACGCGCAACCTCAATGTAATGGACTGTAATTCACATTGAAGTGAACCTTAGTCACTGCTTCCAATTAGTCATTTACTGTTGTGCCAAGCGTTGCCCACCGTGATCCGGTAGCCAGAGGGGTAGAGGTTTCGGCTACTATTCCACTGGTCGAGGGATCGAGGCCTGCTGTCTCCACCTGATGAGATGAAATTACATCGAAACGCGTCATGGTTGTGCAGTGTTTTGGGGTGGGCAACACTCAATTTCTATCTGCGTTGAGTAAGGTATTTATTTACTTATAAATGCCAGCTATTTCCGCATTATCGCGGTGTAGAAAATTTGCTTCGACTCCTGGGGATATAAGTGGAGAGCTCGCGGCAAACCATATCAAAAGCTGAACTTGCACTTTGTGGGTAATCACGTTACGCGGGTTGCAAGCTTTAATACAGAATAAAGATTTCCTAATGTTTAATACGTTGCGCCAATCTGATTATCAAAGCGTGGTCTGCTTGGACAGATACAACCTCTGGTTAGGTTCACGCACAGCACACGAAACAAACACGAAATGGCCAGTGGCGAAAGGAATGTCATCTCACTCTGAGTTAACCAGCAGACAGTTTACTTGGTGGTAGTTATACGCTCAAACAGGTATGTGAAGTTAGTAGTGTGTAGAAAAATACCAGTTTAACTAACGTGTCTGCCAAGTAGGTTGGTCTACATGTAGAGCTACAGATCGTTATTTCTATGCTGTCTCTTTGAAATGAGGAACAACTTACAGGAATATCGGTGCATACCAATGCAACTACGCACTGAAAACTATCCTCTACCATTTGACTGTGTAAAGGATGATCGCAACAAATTTATGGTTATTGTGGGGAGCAGAGAGAAGCTATGGCAGAGGAGTTGGCAATGAAACGGATACATATACACCAAGCGGTTTGGTGAGAATAAGAATTGTTGGCGTGACTCTACAGTGGACTTGATTATAAATCACCTGAGTATTGCAAAGGAGGACTCTGTAGCGAACTGTCCCCCTGCTGACAGTCCATTCCTTGATGGGTCGTTCATCTTACCGGACGCTCCAGTACACATTGAGATAACTGACTCATATGCCTCGGACGGCATTGTTGACCCTCCACAAA